ACCATTCATGGTAACTCACAGTTCCAGAAGGCAGAATCTAAACGATGGACATGGGAGTCTCCCGGTGGATGATTCCACAACGAAATAGACCACATCATATTCAATCGACGGTTTTGCCTGACTGATGTCGCTGTTGTCCCAAAATTTCGAACGGGATCGGACCACCGTCTCCTTCGTGCAAAATTCTACTTCACAGAGCAGGGAGAAAGGGCTGCAAAGTTCAAAAAGAGAACTCCCAGAATGACCACCAACTGGGAACTCTTTGGTACTATTGCGGCAACATGGGAAGATGCCATTGTTGACAACATTGACGAGGAATACGATCGACTGGTTCAGCACCTCCATGAATGTGCGAGGAACGCCAAGAGAGAGATAGCCACAAAAAGTCGCCTATCTTCGAAAACTCTTGAGCTAATTCGCCAGCGTGGTTTGGCGCATGCCTCAGGCAACCGCAAGCTAATGTCCGAGCTCGCAAAGCAGTGAAGAGATGCGATCAAGGAAGACCTCAAAGAGAGAAGAGCAGAAGTACTGGTAGATGCGGCAGAAGCCGGGAAAAGTATTCGTAACGCCCGCCTGTCCTTCGCCAACTATAAGACCAAGATGACTGCCCTCCGACGTCCTGATGGATCCATCACATCCTCCAGAACGGCAATGGAGAAGATTATCCATGACTTCTACTCAAATCTCTTCGATAGCCATGTCCACTTGCCGACATACCAAATTCCACAGGATGGATATGTCGTTCCCAACGTTCTCCCTTCCGAAATCTGACACGCCATTTCGTCGGTAAAGAAACAAAGAGCACCCGGCCCAGACAAGGTCAGACCTGAACACCTGAAGAACCTGCCGTCAGTACTCATCAATACACTGGCTCGGCTCTTCACTCGCTACCTGTCTGAATGCAAGGTTCCGTCCCAATGGAAAACCAGCAGGACCGTACTACTGTTTAAGAAGGGAGACATCCATGACATTGGCAACTATCGCCCGATCTGCCTATTGTCTGTCATCTACAAGTTGTTCACTCGAGTCATCCTAAATAGGATTGGCAGAACACTAGATGAAGGACAACCATGCGAGCAAGCCTGGTTCCGCAAAGGATTCAGCACCATCGACCATATCCACACAATAACCAAGCTCATTGAGGTTTCTCGGGAGTTCAAGATGCTGCTCTGTTTAACGTTCATTGATTTAAAGAAGGCCTTTGATTCTGTTGAGACGGAAGCAGTCATTGAAGCCCTAGCCAATCAGGGCATTCAAGCCCAATACATCAGGATCCTCCGTGAGCTGTATTGCGGATTCACTACCAGGATCTCACCATTCTACAAAGAAGTGATCGTTGATGTCAAGAGAGGGGTGCGGCAGTGTGATACCAGTTCACCGAAACTCTTCAGTGCCACCCTCGAGAACATCATGCGAAACTGGAATGGGAATGAATGGGAGTGAAGATAGATGGTCGGCAACTACACCACCTCCGCTTTGCTGATGACATTGTTTTAATAACACCAAACATCAGCCAAGCAGCACAAATGCTGGCCGACTTTGACCGTGAGTGTGGAAAGGTAGGACTACAGCTGAATCTTACGAAGACAATGTTTATGAGAAACAGCCTCGTTCCTGACGCCCCATTCGCTCTCAATGGAATGACCATCTCCGAATGCAACAGCTATGTGTACCTAGGTCGAGAAGCCAACATGACAAATGACCTGGCACCTGAGCTGCGCAGGAGGAAGAGAGCGGCTTGGAACGCCTTCAAGAACGTCGAAGAAATAGCTAAGAGGACGAAGAACCTCCGGCTCCGGGCACATCTCTTTGATTCCACTGTTCTTCCTGCATTAACATATGCCTCAGAAACCTGGGCCCTACGCAAACAAGATGAGAATGCTATTCAGGTCTCCTAAAGAAGAATAGAAAGAGCTATGCTTGGAATATCACGTTTCACTCAAATGAGAGAAAGAATCCGGAGTTCTGACATCCGTCGACGATCAAGGATCAGGGACGCTGTCTCATTTGCCAAGGTGTCGAAAATCAGATGGGCTGGTCACGTAATGAGATTTAAAGACGACCGTTGGACTAGAGCTGTTACTGACTGGATTCCACGGGATGTCAAAAGACCGCATGGCCGCCCACCTACCAGATGGTCAGACTTCTTCGTCAAGATCATGAACGATCGGTTTGAGGCCCTTCATGTTCCTGGAGCGAAGAGATGCCATTGGGCTACACTAGCACGCGACAGGGACAAATGGAGACGTTACTGGCGCCCGCTCGAGCAAATCGCCGACTAACGGGAAGTTAAGTGATTAAGTGAAGTGCCTTTGGCCAGATCCCAAAAACTTGGGACAGAGTTTACCAAGAAATTAAACAGCAAAAATTTGGTATGTGGGAGCAACACCCATAAATCACTTCCACTGAACTACAAAAGCTCACTTACTGACCATATTTCAGAGACCCATAAATCCCGAAAGAGATAACAAGCCATAGTTAGGGCCAGTGGAGAGATGGCTTTCGGGCTAGCAGGCATGCCCTGCAGGACAAATTGTGAAGTTTATTTCTCTGGAAAAGATGGAAACAAGGGCATGATCAAGAGACACACAGAAGAATCTCCAAAGCTAAAAGCTTGCTGAAGAGATGCCTCCACACTTTTAAGCCAGGCTGACTACACCTGGGTGCCTCAGACAGGAGCAGGTGTCCTCCCTTCCACCTGCCCCCTAATATCCTGGTTGCCGCCAACTTCCAGAACCCAATGGGAAGTGCAGTATGCAGGTTCAGTGACAGCAAACTCCAGGCCTCAAGGAATAGTGGATGGGCTGGTCTTTCTCATTCCCCCACCCCGTCCTCTTTGGACCCTGGAGGTAATGCCCATAAACTGCCTCTAGCTATTACTTAAGCTCCTAAATAGTGATAATCCAGAGACACACAAAAGAATCTTCAAACCGAATATCTCAGCTTGCTGCAGCCTAATTGTCTAAAATTTTGGAATTCCAGGATCATGCAGCCACTCTTGTGGCCGCATGACATATTATGTTATTCATAACAAGCAATAAAAAAGAAAGTATAGGGGATATTGTGTGCCACAGAGGCAGGGGAGGGGTGGGAGGGTGGGGGATACTGGGGACATTGGTGGTAGAGGATGTGCACTGGTGGTGTGTTGGGTGTCCGATCATTGTATGACTAAAACTCAAACAGTGAAGCTTTATAACTGTATCTCACCGTGATTCACTAAAAAAAAGTAGTGTGGAGTTCATGTCCAATTCAATCAGCTTTACCAATGGCTGAAGAAATAGCAGTACTCCTACATTCAAAAAATACGTGGGAGACTTGGGTGCCCGCTGTCCTGACTCTCCGCTGTGACAGCAGATCAAGTGCTGTCCGAGGGAGGGACAGCCCGGGAATGGGCAGAACCTGCTGACTGCAGGTGACTGAAAATGCAGCGGTTCTGCTCACTGGTTGTTTGGATCACTCCTAAGTCGCTTCTTGAGTGTCACCTCGTGCTGCATCCCACCTAGACAGCAGTTCAGGAATATCTGTCTTCACCTGGGTTTGGACTGACTTTGGGTCTGTCTGTGATGTTTCCCATCAGAACCTCACTCTTTATGAAGGGGAAATAATAATGGAAATATAAGCTTACGTCTACTCCCGTGGACCTTAGAATTGGTGTTATACATATCAAAATAGAGAAAACAAAGGAGCTAATAGGGAGGCAGAAATGCTAGAAATGCTGGCTCCAACCTAGGGAAACTGTTCTGCTGCCACTTAAGTGAGTGTGCTACCCAAGAAGTAGATGGAAGAATGTCATCTGCAAAATAAATTTTAAAATGCTTTCTAGAAATAAATGGATAACAAAAAAGTGGGTCAGGAGAACATTATTTTTTAAGGTTCTATGTTGACTATAGCAACAAAAATTCAGTGTAAAGTCTGAAATTTCTCTGGCATTTGAATCTGTGGTGTTTGGGTTTCTTGTTCAGAGCCATTTCACCAGCAACTGCTTGAATGAGAGACTTGAGTGTCAGCATTTGGTCACAGGACATTTTCCTGGAGCATTTATAGCTTTCAACCTGTATCTCCAGAGTCCCAGGTTCACAGTTTGTTTCTCTAGCAACTCTAAAATTTTAGGTTGACATGAATATCTCTCAATTAATATCTCTTTTTATGTTTAAATAATATTTTATTTCATAGCACAGCAGGTAGGGCGTTTGCCTTGCATGCGGCTGACCCAGGTTCAATTCCTCCTTCCCTCTCGAAGAGCCTGGCAAGCTACTGAGAGTATCCCGCCCACACGGCAAAGCCTGGCAAGATCGCCATGACGTATTCTATATGCCAAAAACAGTAACAATAAGTCTCACAGTGGAGATGTTACTGGTGCTCGCTTGAGCAAATAGATGAACCACAGGAGGACAGTACTACAGGACAGTGTTTAAGTATAAAATAAAATAAAATTGCATTTCATCTTGGCTTCAAAATTATTCACAAATCCTTAGGCAAGTTAGTTATTTCAAGTCTAAAATCAACATTCAACATATGGTGTCTTAACAGAAAATAATGCATGTCTATTTACATGATTATGGTAAAGACTAAAGAGACTATGTAAGAGAACAAATAGGTGTACCAAAATAGGAGTGGTTTTTTTAGCCTTAGTTTTTGTCTGCAGCCTTTCTGTAAGATGGTAGAAAGCAAGCTAGAAACTTGATGAAAGGACCAGCAAAATAGTAGGGCAAGTAAAGTGCTTACCTTGCACATAGCAGACCCAGTTGGATCCCCAGAAACATGTATGGGCCCCTAAGCTCCTTCAGGAGTGATTCCTGAGCACACAAAAATTCTTAGTAGCAGACAGAAAACAGCAAGAACCCTTAATCTGGTACAACAGTAAATATGTCTTAAAAGGAAAGGAAATGAAATAACCTACTAAGTTATAAAGTTATAAAAAGAGGTTATTTAAGAAGACTGTGAAGGGAATTTAGGACATGCATAAACATATTTGGACAATTCCATGTCAATTTCTTTTATCATTGGGTAAAAACAGGCTTCCTACTGACAAGGGACCTGAATGCGCCTTTCATGTCCTTGTTCCGGAGGCTGTAGATAAAAGGATTCATCATAGGGGTCACCACTGTGTACATCACCGCAGCCACTGTTTTCCCCTGGGTCTCCTCGGAAGACGAGGGGGTAAAATACACCGCGATGATGGTCCCGTAGAAGAGACACACCACGGAGAGGTGGGAGCTGCAGGTGGAAAAAGCCTTCTGCCGGCCTGTCTTGGATGGGATTCGCATTACGGTTGAGAAGATGAGCAAATATGAGATCAAGATGCCCATGAAGGGGAGGACAACCGTCAAGGAACCCTCAGAATTCGACACGACGTTGTTGAGGTGGGTGTCAGAGCAGGCCAAGTTTAGCAGAGTGCTGAGTTCACAGAAGAAATTTTGCACCTGGTTGTGGGTACAGAATGAGAGACGGTTCAATAGTATGATGTGCACCAAGGAATTCCCAAATGACGTCGTCCAGGATGCCCCCACTAGGAGGCTGCAGACCTGGGGTGTCACAGACATGGCATAGTGCAGGGGGTGGCAGATGGCCTCGTAGCGGTCATAGGCCATGACACCCAGCAGGAAGCAGTCAAGACTAACAAACAAGATGAAGAAGTACGTCTGGGTGAGGCAGCCAGCATACGGAATCCCCCTGTGCCCCGTGACGTGGTTGACTAGCATCTTGGGGATGGTAGTGGAGGTGAAGCAGATGTCCACGAAGGCCAGGTTGGCCAGGAAGAAGTACATGGGGGTGTGGAGCCGGGTGTCTGTGACAATGGCCAGGATAATGAGCAGGTTGCCCAGTACCGTGACCAGGTACATAACCAGGAAGAGAATGAAGAGCAGCTGCTGCTCCCGGGGGTCCTCGGAGAGGCCCAGGAGGAGGAATTCAGAGAACTGGGTGAGGTTTCCTGCATCCATGACTTCTGGATCAATGAGAAAGTGTTCAGGGTGCTGTCCTCGGTGCTGACCTATATCAGGCATTCAGGGTAAGCTATCTATAACCTTCAGGATTAATTCAGTTGTTCATCATGTCCCCCCACTCTCTCCTAAAGGAGTTTAGTTCCTATTTATACAATATTCCACACTGCACACACTTTCTCCATCGGCCACCTCAGATGTCCCGTAATGTTTATGGACATCTCTCAAGCAGCCCAAGGATTCCCAGCACAATCCTGAATCTCACTGAGTCTGTCCTTCATCGGGTGACTCCTGAGCTCAGCTTCGTCAAGGCTAAAGTACGAGCTATCTGGCTATCCCTCAGGGATTCCCCATTTCTGGCAGTATGCAACACTTGGAAATAGGGACGGAAGGAGGGGGTAGGGAGCGAGAGATGGTGGATGGGAGAGACAGGGTTGATGAAGAGAGATAGGAAGTGGAAGAGCCAAGTGGATGGACGAGGGAGACAGACAAATAGAAGCAGTCAGATGGGAAAGGCACAAGATGTTTCCTTCATATTTTAGACATGGACACGAGCCACATTCTAGTCTGAACTATGATCTGTAATTTCTTTTTTTTTTTTTGAGGTTGGATGGAATTTTATTGGACTTTACAAAGGTAAAGCTGAAGCAGATTTTCACATAAATAGTAGGACATACTTAGAACAAGGTGTTCACCACTCTACAAACCAGATTAATTTCTTGTTCTGGGTCATACCACAGGACTCACAAAAATTAGTGAGAATTCTGTTTAAAAAATTGATAGAAATATTCTTTTGATACCAAATGAAAACTCATTTCAGCCAGAGAACTAGACAGGTTAAAACTTGGCAAAAATAAAAGTGGTCGTCATAAGATTTTTCTAGCTATAATTGATCTGTAATTTCTGAATGTCTAAACCAGACAAAAAATACTTAAAGATATCCACCTACCCTAGACTTTTTGGAAGGGAAAGCAGGGTAAATAAGAGAGAACGAGTGAAGGAGCGATAGCACAGAGGGTAGGGAGTTTGTCTTGCATGCGGCTGGCCTGAGTTTGATTCCTCCACCCCTCTTGGAAGCAAGCTACAGAGAGTATCCCGCTTACACAGTAGAGCCTGGCAAGCTCCCTGTGACGTATTTGACATGCCAAAAACAGTAACAACAAGTCTCACAATGAAGATATTCCCTGTGCCTTCTAGTGCAAATCGATGAACAATGGGAGGACAGTGCTACAGAGAGAAGTAGATAGATGGAGAGATAGAGACTGTTACATGGGTTGGTTGTACATGAGGGACCTACCCTGATACTTGGGTCATGGGCAGTGTCTGCTGTTCCCCTCCTGACACTCTTCTGGACTCTCATCCTCACCCACCAGGTCAATCCACGCTCTCCTCTTGTCCTATAGCTGAGCACACACTCTGTGACCTCTTCCTCTCCCAAGGAAGGTGCAAGCGGCAGCTCCTGCACTCTGCACCTCATGCTTTACCTGGTCCCCATCCTTCCAGATGCCCCTCTCCTCCTCAGCTCACACACATCCACTTCGCCCCTGCCACTGCCAAATTTGCCCCTTCTCTGCTTTCTTTGGCTTAGGCTCTTACTCTTCACTTTCACCTCCCCATGGGCATAATCAAATGAAATAACAAGCTTCTCCACCATTGAAATCCTGCCCTGGACTAGAGCCAAGGGTGACAGCCTGGTTGGCACTCCCCACGCACCTTGTGTATGACCTGGTATGTGGACGTCTTCGATCTCACTGTGATTCATGCACCAGTGCATCCATGCAGAGGAGGAAGAGGTTTGGAGACAAATTCAGCCTTCTCCTTGTCACCCATCCCCAACACTCTTCAACTCAGCCACGCAAGACCCCGGACATGGGTCCTCTCACAGACTTACACACGCATTGCTGCTTCATGTTTTATTTGGTTTATATCCTTCACACCATTAAACTCAGCCCAGAGTGTCACAACCCCAAGGTCACAGAGAAGTCTTGAGCTGGCGAGCTTGGCTCCTTCTCTCTCTCTGTCCGTGCCTGGCACAGTTCCCTCTCTCTTGTGTATCCCTCTGACTGTGGAGATGTGTGGGTACGGTGTGGTAGCTCCCGGGACGTGGAGGCAGGTCAGTCCCCCAGGACCATCTTGAGGACCTGGAAGAGCCCAATTTACCCCGTCCTCGGTGCTCCTCGGGCTGCATCCCCAATGGCTTGTTAGGGCTCCTGCTAATTGTCCTTCCACATGGGCCTCTTTATGCCTGGCCCTGCGGTGGGGAGGGCAGACGATGCTTCTGGCCCTGCATTTCCCTTCACTGGTGCACCCAGGAGGGTGGAAGTCCGGGTCCTGCAGGGACTTTGCTCACGGCCGGGCCAGCAGGTATCTGAGCCTCCTCTGGGGCGCCACATACCTCTGAGAGCAGTTCTGAAAATTTGGAATACGCTGTAATCCACATCAACTAAAATTCACTGTGTTCAAGGGTTATCCAGAGTCACTTAATACCTTCACGGTGTCACACCAAATCATCTGTACCACCGTTTCACTCCTTTACCCAGTCCTCATCAGCTCCATCCCCTTATGCACGGTGTAAACCACCAGGGGAGCTGGCGGAAGAGAGCCCCCACAGTCCAGAGGGCAAAGTGCGTCTCCATGTGCAGAGGGGCCAGGCTCACCTGACCTGAGGAAGGGCGTGTCTTCCCAGCCAGCAGCCCTCTGCCTTGGCACCTGAACTTCCAGCGCCATCTTTTTTGTATTTTCCCAGAGTTGATTAGCCTAGTTTTACTTGAAAAATTCATAAATAATACAGGGAATGTATTTCATTTACCAAAAGATAAAAATTCCCTGTAGGGGACGGGCTGTCTCCCCCACCTCCCTGGAGCCCCAGAAGCCATCAGCTAAGATTTAACTCCAGCTGCATCACTCCGGTAATGGGTTTGAAGTTCCCGGAGTGCAACATCTCAAACTCTACAAAACGTATAAACCAGAAGTGGCACATCAGATCGGATGGGATGGAATGTACAAAGCATCCGATCTCAGATAACAAAGCACAGACACAGCCTTAACCTAGAACAACATCTTAGTAATCTTTTTTTTCAATTAGTGAAACACCATTAAGTACAAACTTTTGTGCTTGTGTTCCAGTTGCACAATGATCAAGTACCGATCCTTCCACCAGTGCCCGTTCCCCACCACCAATGATTCCAGTATCCTTCCCACCACCCCCATCCCATCCCCCAACCCCACCCCACCTCTGTGGCTGGGCATTCCCTTTTGCTCTCTCTTTCCTTTTTGGTGTTGTAGTTTGCAATAGAGGCCCCCTCCCTGTGTGGCAGATTTCCACTTTACTCTCTTTATATGTTGATCACATTCAATATTACGACAAAAGACCCATCATTACTGTTTTGAATTTTCATCTTAGTAATCTCTTATACAAGGAATTAATGGCTCCATGCCGAGATACAACAATCCACTAACTTTCTTCCAAGGAAACATTTTTTGATCATTCTTGTAGCAAATTATTGATAACAAGCAATATAAAATAGTTTCGAAGCCCGCTATGGGGGCAGGCTTAAAGGAAGGTTCAGAAAATTGGAGATTATGGGGTGGAAGGTACAATGGTGGTTGGATACTAATTTTTTTTAATTTTACTAGTGAATCACTGTGGGGTACAGTTACAGACTTACAAACTTTTGTGCTTGCATTTCAGTCATACAATGGCCGAGTACCCATCCCTCCATCAGTGCCCATTTTCCACCACCAATTGTCCCAGCATCCCTCCCACCACTTCCATCCCAACCCCTCCACCCCACCCTCCCTCTGTGGCAGGGCATTCCCTTTTGTTCTCCTTCTCTCTCTCTCTCTCTCACTCTCTCTCTCTCTCTCTCTCTCTCTCTCTCTCTCCTTTTGGGTGTTGTGGTTTGCAGTCGAGGTATTAAGTGTCCATCATGGTCGGTCTATAGTCTACTTTCAGCCTGCATCTCTCATCCCAAGCAGGCCCTCCTAGCACCCTTTACTTGATGGTCCCTTCTCTATCTGAGCTGTCTTTTCCCCCAGTATGCATGGCCAGCTTCTAAGCTGTGGAGTACATCCTCCTAGTACTTATCTCTACTGGTCTTGGGTGTTCTTCTCCCATTCTGTTACTTTGTATTCCATAAATGAGTGCAATCTTTCTATGTTTGTCCTTCTTTTTCTGACTCATTTCACTTAACATGATACTTTCCATGTTGTGGATACTGATTGTTACATTGGAATGTCTGTAACAAATCATTATGAACAATTTTATTTAAGAAAAATTCCATGGGGCTGGAGCAATAGTACAGTGGGTAGGGCATTTACCTTGCACGCGGCCTACCCAGGTTCGATTCCCAGTATCCCATATGGTACCCTGAGCACCAGCAGGAGTAGTTCCTGAGTGCAAAGTCAGGAGTAACCCCTGTGCATCGCTGGGTGTGACCCAAAAAGCAAAAAAAAAAGCAGAGGTGGTGTAGTTGCCGACCATCTATCTTCACTCCCATTCCTTCCCATTCCAGTCATCGCATGACATTCTTGAGGGTGGCACTGAAGAGTTTCGGTGACATGGTATCACCGTGCCGAACCCCTCTCTTGACGTCCAATGATCACCTCTCTGTAGAATGGTGAGATCCTGGTAGTGAATCTGCAATAGAGCTCACGGAGGATTCTGATGTATTGACTTTGAATGCACTGTTTGGCTAGGGCCTCGATGACTGCTTCAGTCTCAACAGAATCAAAGGCCTCCTTTAAATCAATGAATGTTAGACAGAGCAGCATCTTGAACTCCCAAGAAACCTCAGTGAGCTTGGTTATCGTGTGGATATGGTCGATTGTGCTAAATCCTTTTCGGAAACTGGCTTGCTTGCATGGTTGTCCTTCATCTAGTGTTCTGCCAATCCTATTCAGGATGACTCAAATGAACATCTTGTAGACGACAGACAGAAGGCAGATCGGGAGATAGTTGCCAATGTTGTGGATGCCCCCCTTCTTGTATAGTAGTACAG